ACATTTGATTGATCCATTTCCATTTTAGGTGTTCATCCGTCTTGAGATTGTAACTTCAAATTTGTATAATCTACAGCTTCTGAGTGTTTCCGAGTTTCAGGAAGTCCATTTGCAAGAGGAGCAAAATGTGCACTTGGAAAATCCTTCCTACATAAACTTGTTACTCTTCTTGTAAATTTGTACATGCATACATATATAAATTGAAGGGACAATTCTTGAGTTCATGCCACCATCATCTTCTTGAATTTACGTGAGCGTGTCAGAAATTCTTTTTCTGCAGCAAAAGTAGAAATCTTTTTTTCTATATATATAAAGGAAAAAGTGTGTGTACTTTTAAAAGATACAAACTTAGGTTCTTTTAGGAGAGAGATTGACACAAAAAGATATGGATTCCATTGAAAAAATAGGTGAGAGTCACATCTTTTTATATTTATCTCTTTTTTTTTGCATTACCTTTTTATATTTATCTCTTTCTTAAAATGACACACACATTTTTCATATATATAAATTGGTAAAGTATAGATTGGTAAATGTACATTTACTCACAGGTGTTACTCTCACAATCGATGGGGAACCATTTTCTAATGGTTGAGACCATTGTTGTGAAAATTGGATCGGACCGGCCGGGTCGACCTGGAATCCGGTGAACCGGTCATCTGACTTGTATGTTTATCACATTAGATCGGTCAAGTATCAAACTCGGTACGACCCGGCTGGTTTTGGTAAAAAATCGGTGACCCGGCTCGGGTTTTTTTAAAAAAAGTTTTCAAAAAAAAAAGTTTTCCAAAAAAAATAATCATAATTGATATATTTGAGTGATCTGTTACTTATTGACTTACATAAGTTATGTACTTACAATCTTAATATTATTTCAATTATGCACTATGCAGGAAATTTTGATTTGATAGTTAGAGATGTCGTTTACTGAACCTGAAACACCAATATAACAAGCATTATGTGTTTGTTTGATCCTTTATTGGACAATAATGTATAATTTATTATTTTTTATATTAAAATATTTAGAATTTATATTATTTTTTCAGCTATTTGAGTATATTTATATTTTTTAATATAAATTATAGATTTATATATAATCATCGGGTCATGCGGTTCAACCAGTGACTCACTGGTTGAACCAGTGACCCAGTACCTCGACTGGATCATTGACCGGACCGATTTTAATAACATTGGTTGAGAGAGTTTGTGAATAAAGGGGAAGGATCCATTTACAAACTTTTTTGAATTTTTTTTACAAATTACACTATTTTCTTCCGGGAGAATATAGTAAAATTAGTGTTCTCCTTTAAAATGTTAGTGTAGTTTATAAATAAAAAAATTTGTAAATATAACATGTCCCGTGAATAAATATTAAGAACACCTATAAAAGAGATGCGTTTCAAATAATACATGGGTTAACTTAGTGGTCAAGGTGTTTTGTTACTTTGATTACTTGGTTTGGAAACCCATAAAGGGAGGTACACCCTTATGATTTAAAGAGAGACTTAATTTTGGTTACAGGCAAAGCATGTCAGAATCATTAACCCACTGACAAAGTTAGGCAAAATTATACATATGATATCGTTTTAAAGAAGTTAGGTTGATTTTTTTTTTTTCCTTTTTAAATATTCTGAAGTGCTTACCCCATTCGTTTCTCGGGCTGCACCATTTAATCAAAACCAAGCCATAAAGAATAGTAAAAGGTAAACACTGGTTTCAGCAATGCTAAATTTTAATTCATCATCGACTCTAATTCCATTTCTGTAAAAACCAAAATAATTAAATATGGCTTGAGATAAAGATTCTCAAGGTATTAGGTGCAAGATAAAGGTTATGCCTGTTTCAAAAAAAAGAAAAGGTTATGCCGGATCAAAAAGAGTGTATCATTATTGAGATTAAAGATCACATACGAACAAAAAATGGTGGTAGCTCAGTTGGTAATAAGAAAGTTGTATAAATGAAAAAGAAAAGAACTTTGGTTCGATGATCCCCACATGTCATTTTTGAGAGGAATTCAAATATTTTCATCTCTGACCCAATTTGCAGATTAGTCTCATAGTCTTCTTAAAGAATCGAAGTATGTGGGGATATTTCAATTATTATTTATCAAATAGGAAAAATATTTCTTTTTTTACTACAGAATCTTTTTTCTGGCATATTCGTATAAAAATGAGTAGATTCTACAAAAATTTTCTCTGTCTTCTTTTTATAATGGACCCACTCATTTTTTTGTGATTGTGACAGAAAATAATAATATTTCAGAACAAGTTTACGAAAGATCTTGAAAACTTTCAATTCTTATTTATCAAATTGAAAAAATATTTTTATTTTTGCTACAGAATTTTTTTCCCGGCTCATTCACACAAAAGTGAGTATGTTCCACAATTTTTTTTTCTCTCTTCTTTTTGTAATGAATCCACTCTTTTATTGTGATTGTGGTAGACAATTTTTTTTGCAATAAAAATATAAATATTAAACCCAAATCAAATTTATCTCATTGGATTACAAGTCCTCCTTATTTATACATAAAAGTAGAAGTATATAAAATGCATAAAAAGTATTATTAATTATTCTTTAATTGCTAAATTAAGTAAGTAATATGCAAATCAAACATTAATGTTGATTATTTCCACATAAATTGACTGAGAAATAATCAGTAATTTAATCTTTTTTTATTTCATGTAAATATTAATATTTTGACATTCCTTCTTGATTAAGGAAGTCAATTAAACATAATATTTCCAAAAAAAAATTGGAATCCATTTGAATTTGAGCCTTAAAGCTGGCACATAAATATGCATAACTTGAGTTTAAAACGATGTATACATGCTAAATAAAAAACTTAAGAGAGAAAGATAAATGTTAGTTAAGATTATGATTTAATGGTGTTTTAGAATGGTAGGTAAAGATAGGCAGAAAAAATAGTAGGTAAAATATCCTATCCCTTTTATTTAATTTTTGTTTTGCATATATTTTCATTTCTATTTAGTTCCCATTAAGGGCATATATTATTTTTATTAATTTATTATTATTGTTGTTTTTAACCGATTAAGTGTGAAAAGAAAACTGGTTCATGGGTCTAAGCAAACACGTGACATTATTTTCTTCTCATTATCATTATTATTATACGGTTCAGTGTGAAAATGAAACTGGCTCACGGGTAGGGGTGCTAAACGAGCCAGAGGCCTTTCAGGAGCCTATGGCTCGGCTCGTGAAGGTCTGAGCTTACATGTCTAAAGTTGGTTGTTGACACTAGGCTTGAACTTGTATAAAAGCTCGTTTAATAAAGAGGTCTAAGCCTCCAATTTAAAAGCTCGGCCTTAGAGCCTCTCAGGCCGGCCTAGTATATTTTTTTATTTATATTTTATATTTTTTATACTACTTCTAATAGCCCTCTCTTTCTCCTCAATCCATTTCATCCTATTTTTTTGGTTAAACAGAATTTTTGAATGATTTTGTTCTATATTATGCTGTTTGGATATACCTTGAATTTATAAATATTTATGGAATTGTTAGTGTTGTTGATTATATATTCTGTTTGGATAAACTTTCATTGTCTTATTTTTTTTAAAACAGGCTAAATCAAGCTTTTATTTTTTTGTAAACAAGTCAGGCCACATGCCAATAATTATATTTATAACAGATAACAGGCTTGGTCAGGCTGACACATCTAAACACAGACTTAGCCTTTTAAGAGGAGAGCTCGGCTCGGCTCGGCCCATTAACACCCCTACTCACGGGGTCTAAAGCTAACACGTGACACTTTTGTTCTTTAATGGTTTCTCTCTTCTAGTTACTAGTTATATATTATGGAAAAAATGTTTATCCTTTTAAATGACACAACTTATATCCTTTCACTTTCACAAAGAGGTGGGACCCACACCTTTATTTTTTTTGTCAACTCTCTCTCCTTCTTTATCTATATCTTTCTCTCTCTTAAAATGACACAACTTTACATCTTTAAAATGACACACACTTTACCCATATATTATATATAGATAGATTTTTCATTTATTTTTTATTTGCATATAATTTCTGTTTTTATTTAGTTTCCATCACTGGTATATATTATTATTTTTTATTAATTTATTATTATTACTGTTGTTAACTAATTAAGTGTGAAAAAGAAACTAGTTCATGGGGTCTAAAGCAGACATGTGGCAAATTTTTTTAACATTATCATTATTATTAACCGATTCAGTGTGAAAACAAAACTGATTCATGGAGTCTAAAGCAGACACGTGACATTTTTATCATCTAGTGGTTTCTCTCTTCTAATTATGTATAGAAGGATAGATGTGCCGGCTGAGAAATGAATGGACTTCAGAATATTTAAAAAGGGAAAGGAAAAAATAAACCTAACTTCTTTAAAACGATATATATATAATTTTGCCTAACTTTTTCAGCGGGTTAATGATTCTTACATGCTTTGCCTGTAACCAAAATTAAGTCTCTCTGTTATAAAAAAAAAAAAAAAATTAAGTCTCTCTTTGAATCATAACGGTGTACCTAACTTTATGGGTTTCCAAACTAAGTAATCAAAGTAACAAAACTCCTTGACCCATGTATTACTTGAAACGCATCTCTTTTATAGGATTTTTTATTTTGGATAAATTATGGATATCCTCCACTTGAGATAATCCTATTTGAGATTGGAATATCCACATTATGATGGGACTAACTCTCCCAAAAAAAAATCTTTTACATTCAGATAGACTTAAATCCTAGACCTTGTTTAAACAAAATTAAACATATAATACTTGAATCAATCCCTTTTGGTTTTTATAGGTGTTTTTTATATTTATTCACAAACTGTCTCAGCCATTAGAAAATGGTTCCCCATCGATTGTGATTTGTGACAGTAACACCTGTGAGTAAATGTACATTTGCCAATCTATACTTTACCAATATATATATACTTTACCAATTTCACTTGGGTTTTCTATAATACCCATTAGAAGATGATGGTGACATGAACTCAAGAATTGTCCCTTCAATTTATATATGCATGCATGTACAAATTTACAAGCATTTATTTGCATGAGGCTCACAAGAGTAACAAGTTTATGTAGGAAGGATTTTCCAAGTGCACATTTTGCTCCTCTTGTAAATGGACTTCCTGAAACTCGGAAACACTCACAAACTGTAGATTATACAAATTTGAAGTTACAATCTCAAGACAGATGAACTCCTAAAATGGAAATGGATCAGTCGAATGTGCATGAATTCTTGTTGAACATGATTGGTTTTGATCCAGAAGAGTTGATGACCAAGGGACAAGTGATTTCCTTATGATGCTTCGTCCTTACCAGTTTACCCACCACATTTCCTCGGGAACGGATTTCAAACTTCAATTTAAGTGGAACTTCAACACCAGTTTGGGATACTGTTATGGTGGATCCAGCCCCATACAGAGGAACCTTATTACCTTCCAGGTTCACTGATACAATACGGTGACTTTTTCTTGGCTGATAGTATTTCTTCAGCTGCAAGTAGTTACAAGGACAATAAGATGTTACTTATTTACGTGCCAAGAAAGGACTTGAATGTAGATGTTACTTGATACATTTTAAATGTTACTATTTTATGTTAATGTCTTGGCAGTCAGGAAAGAATTCATACCTCACCAGTTGCAACCGTGATGTCTGAGAAGACAAGATTGATGGGGTTGGAGTATACATTGATGCCAAAAAATGTAGCAGGGTTATAGATGCTCATGCGTAAAGTGCCATTAACTGTCAGCATCTTTGTTGGGACACCAGTGAAGTCTGAACCCTCTCCAACATAGAGATTATGTACTGTCAAGCTCTGCAAGAATCACAATGTCAAGGAGTACTATTTAATTTGCGAAGGTAGCTTGTAATTAGCAAGTAATTAGAGACTAGTTATAATCCTAGACCTCACAGGACTCCTTTGATCCTATGATTTGCTTCATGAGTATTATCTCCTAAACATTAATACTCCATAGTTGGAGTAAATGCAAGAGCTAATCGAGTTATAGTAACAGTGTCTTAACAGATTCTGAATTAGCATTCATATCATCTTTGATGACTTTATCAGAAAAGTGGTTCACCAAGAAAAGTCACAAAATTTTTACTCCCAATTTATCATGTACCAGTAACAGCAACTACTTTTGCATTAAAAGAAAATACAGAAGAGTGGCATAAATTTACTCCTTACAAAAGTGAAAAAATTTGCTTACCTTGACAGTAACTTCTGCCTTGTAAGGCCTGCTAGCACCCCATATGATCAAGCAAAACACAGAGAAGACAACCACAAAAGTAAGAACAGCAATCAAGGCTTGGAAGCGCCTAGTGAAAGCCTTGTCCTCAAATTCATGATAAGACCCTTCTTCAAGAATCACGTCACACTCAGGCCATCCCTTATCATTCCTCTTTCTATTACCTTTCCTTCCAGAAGATGACCTGAAAATCCCAGAAAACCTGCTAGCAGATGAGTTCCTGGAGTGACGCCCAAAAGAAGGGTGTGAAGGTGACTCCATGGGGCTGTTTGATATTGGAGTGGCCTGCATTGAAGATGACTTGTCCCCATCGTGAGAGTCCCTCGAAGGACTCTGTACATAGTACACAGGGCGCTTTGGAGATCTTGAAGGTGAAGATGGGGCTAAGCTAGTTATGTCGGATTCAGATTTTGTTGACAGCATCATCACTTAGTATATATGAAAAAAGCCGGGTATTCAACAAAAACCTTACTTGTCACCTGATATACTTCAAGTGCATCCAAATTAGAGAATTGAATGATACCCCAGAAAATCTTTGACACTGGTACTAGACAACAATCTTTAGAACTTGTGCCCCTGAATTCATGAGCCTAGACCACTGGAAAGCAGGGTGGATAGACTTTATGCATGTATTAGCAAAATAAAAAGCAACCTCCAACAAGTAACAAACACAAAAAATGCCAACAAAGATAATGGTAAGAATTAAATACAAGTGACAGACAATGAGAGAGTGGAAAAGTGTGAGAGAGAGTTTGTATGCATGGAATGAATGAAAGGAAAGAGAAGCTATGCCACTGTAAAAGCCAATCCATTCAAGTCCTTATGCTTTAAAGAGTAAATAAAGTAACGGATAATAATATTGAAAGGCTCGGAACCAAACCTCACTGGCTACTGAAATTGGCAGGTTCGGGAATGAGTGTCGGCAGCTTGTTTTATTAGTGCTCTAAAAATATTCAAATAAAAAAAACAATAGTTTATTATCTTGTCTTTTTTCTTTGTGGGGCACGACCACTTACGAAAAAATAATGCTTGAACCTTCAATTATAGGAGTTGGACAAACTACCTAATTAGATTCCGGCTCCTCCTGTATTTGTTTATGTCTATACTGCAATGTGTTTTTATTTGTTATCATTTTAGGTACGTTTTATAATTTATTCTCGATGTGTAGTGTCTGTTGGATCAGTGCGAATTATGAATGACAAAAACCGCATAAGTAGCTAAACAAAAAAGAGAGTGAAAAAAACAGAACTTGGAATTTAACTATGAATACGGATATTCTCGCTACCAAAATTTTCCACTACCAACTTATTATCTATCTAATTAGTGTTAGATTAACATTTTTTCTCTCTTCAAATTTTTTTTAACATTCTTTCTCTTTGATCCAAAAAGGTGATGTGATGGATAATTATATACTGAATGTTACTTGTGTAGCCAAATACAAAAATTGTTACACTTTTAAGTATAAAACGTGAGTTTATCTTCTGTGCTCGCTTTGTGTGTTTCCTCTAAATAAAAATTAGGAAAAAGTTTAAAAACTCACATATGATTTTGCTTTAAATTACTTACTTTTTTATATTTTTTTTAATCACTTACGTAATTAGATTCCGGGTCGTCTTGTATTTCTTTATGTCTATAATTAGGGGTGAAACTGGGTCGGGCCGGCCTACAGGGGTCTACGGCTCGGCCTACGTCAAGTCAGGACTGACCTAGTATATTTCGTAAAATAGGCCGGACTTGAACCTTGAAAAAGCTTGTTTAATAAAAAGGCCGTAGGCTCACTTTCACAAAGTCTGGCCTATAAACCTATAGGCCGGCCTATATTATATTATTTATTTTAAATAAAATAAAATAGAATAAGTATGACTCGAAGAAAAAACAAAAGATATATTATTTAATCAATTGCAATTATTTATAACTTAATTATATTTTAATAGAAATTTGACTTTATTTCTTATGTCGGAGAAACCAACATCTCAACATGTTAGATTGTGTATATGAATATATTAAAAGGTTTTTGGGAGATGTTATACTTATTACAAACATCATGATATGTTTGTTGAATTCACGTAGTTATTTTAATTTGTATAGATTTGTTTGTTGGATCTGATGAAATATATGTTATTTAGTTTGAGCATTTTGCTCTTGAAATTGACTTAAATGCAGATTGTATGAGTTTTGTTGTGATTCATGATTCTGTTTGAATGTTGAAATTATGATTTTTGGTTTAGCAACAGAATTTGAGTATTTTGTAAAGTTGATTCATGGTTCTAGTTGGAAGTTAAAAATTAACAGGCTAACGGATTAGGTCAGACCATTTGTTTTTTTATAAACGGGTCAAGACAGGCTAACAGTTAGACTCGTACTAGGCTTGAGCCAGGCCAAATTGAAAATTTTTTGCGTAAGCTTGAACTTTTCGGGATAAAGTTTGGCCCAGCTCAGCCCACTTTCATCGCTATCTATACTGCAATGTGTTTTTATTTGTTATCATTTTAGGTACGTTTTATAATTTATTTGTGATGTGTAGTGTCTGTTGGATCAGTGCGGATTATGAATGACAAAAACTGCATAAGTAGCTTAACAAAGAAGAGAGTCAAAAAACACAACATGAGAATTTAACAATATACTGAATGTATACCCAAATACAAAACTTGTTACACTTTTTTTTTGGTAAATAACTTGTTACACTTTTAATGTATAAAACGTGAGTTAAAATCTTCTGTGCTCGTTTTCTCTGTCTCATTATTGTTTTTCTAAATAAAAATTAACAATTTATTGAAAATATTTATTTTTTGCTTAATTATCAATAACTTATCTTTCAATTAATATTTTTTTTATGCTGAATTGCTAGCCTTTAATTAGAGAGGGGGAAAGAGATAGCAAAAGGACCCAGAAGATTTAAATTAGTTTTGTAGGTTCCGGGGATTGATGAAGCACATGCGTTCATTTCAGTTTATTTTTAATGCATTTTTTGTGTATGTGAGGAGCATAAAGATGTGTTTTCACAAGCAATTACTGGGATTTAATGTAGCATTCTTTGGGTTTTGAAACAAATTTGTATTTGATGATTATTACAACCAATTTTTTTATTTTTTAAATGTATTGATATGGAAAAAAAAATACAATAATAACACTTAGGTTCGGAAAAAAAGAATTCTGGTAGGAAAATACTCGTACTTGAGTAATGACACAAGAAGGGAATTTTTTGGGTTAGATATAATTGGGCCTGAAGTGCTCCCGCTTCTGAGCTCGTCCGGCCTACAATCTTTGGGATGCTCTGATGACAAAGGCTGTTTACAACTATATACTATTCTGGCAAAAATTCCAACAAAAGCCCACATTTGACCCAAATAATGTTAGAATCGACAAGCCCAAATTGTATCATACATTGTAAGAAATAAATATACCATGTTAAAAACATTTGTTATTTTAAATAAGGGTTTTATTAATCTCCTTCCACATAAGATAGTTATCTTATGTGGTAGAGAGAAAATGGGTGGATCCCACCATTGCAAGAAAAAAAGAAAAAGAAGAAAAAAGTGGAGTGCGAAAATCGAAGTGAGAGAAAATGAGATAAGTTACCTTATGTAAAAGGAGAATAATATTTCCCTTTAAATAATGGGTAATTATACTCTTATGTCACATGAACACATTTTTGTGTCTTGCACTTGCACACTCAACTTGAGGTGGGGCCCATCAGGAGAAAGAATAAAAAAAAAGAACATCACAACTACCGATGTATGTACAGGAGACAACCTTTTCACAGAAGACTAATATTGCCCTTAAATAATATAACTTTGTATTCTTCTAAATGAAAAGAATGTATTTTGATGGGTTTTTTACCTTCTCTTGTCTTTACAAAATTAGAATGAAAGACACAAAAAAAGTATGGTAAAGGAGAGAGAAGATAAAAAATATCAAAATATAATTATTTCACTTAATATAATACAAAATTATAATATTTAAAATGATAAACGCTCGTATACTATATACATAAAGCTTTTTCATTTCATTTCATTTTTTTTTTGTCAAAGTCAGGTTTGGATCCTCCTGGTGACTGTGGGTTATGAGCCCACTAGGCCACTGTGATATGTTAATTATGTAGCAAAATGAATATGTTTAATATTCGTATTATGTTAGAGCAACGCTCTCCGAAATTAAGTAGGTGTGCTTAGTGCAACGGCTTTGCTATGTAATTGTTTTGACAAATTGTTGTTTAGAAAATTGGAGCTGATTTAGGTTAATAACCAGAAGCTGTCGCTGCTTTGTTTCTTCAAGACAATGATTTTACATCAAACTTCTTTGCTTCGTTTGGAGCACTGATTATGGAATTTTTGTGTGATCTTATCATGTAAAAAATATAAAATTTCCAAATAATCTTTTTACGCGAAAATATAAGATGAGAGATCCATTTCCGTATAAATATTTGCTCCATGATACATTCAGGCCTTCGTTTATTTTATTTTTTTCGGTGGAATCATAGTCACATTTGTATGGACACATCATCAAAAGGGGTTGAAAATCACACGCTCTCTTCCCAAACACACACACAAAAGTCAGTAGTCCAACAACAACAACAAAAAATCTCGTAAGTCTGAATCTGCATTAGGATGGTAGTTATTGGCATTATCCTGTGATGACCTGCTGAAGAAAAAATAATACACAGTGGTGCTACCATTCATTTATCTGCTAAGTTCCAATAGCTGATGGATATGACTGACAGGAATCACAGCTCTTTTTTGTGAACCACAACATTATATTCCATAATGCTTTAGCCCTGATCGGTGATCACATAACGAGCAACCTTCAAAACTAACGAGACTATGCAAATGGTAACGAATCCTGGTCCAAAATTTAAATTTGTTGTCTTACCCAATATATTATTGAGTAGATAAACTATATAATTATAGGGGTATGTTTTAGGAAGAAAAACAGCACACCCATAAAAAATCGTGACATGTGTGTGTGTGTTTTTTTTTTATCTAATGGGTTCATATATCTTTGTCTCTGCTGGAAGGGGAAAGTTTCTATGGAGAAATTAATACCCCATAATTATATAGTATATACTATAAACGAGTAATATATGATAACTATCTAGAAATTAAAATTTCTAAGCAATCATTCGTGCTAGTCCGTATCTGGGTCTTGGGCTGTTGACCTGCTAGTGCTTGCTGATGTGTTCATAATGACTGACATAGACTTGAAAAAGGGTTATGAAATATTATTGATTTTTATTTGAATCTGTACATAGGGGTCTCTATTTATAGAGACTTCTTGACCTAATTTTGACCTAATGGGCTTGGCCCAATATACAAGTAACGGACTAAATAAATATAAATAAATGACTACATAATTACTATTTACAACACTCCCCCTCAAGCTGAGGAATAGATATTTATCATTCCCAGCTTGCTAGCAAGTTCTTGAAATCTATCTGAAGGAAGCTCCTTTGTCAATAGATCAGCTAATTGACGCCCAATGGGAATGTATGGAGTGGTAATCAACCCGTTATCAAGTTTCTCTTTGATGAAATGGCGGTCGACCTCAATATGTTTAGTCCGATCATGTTGAACTGGATTATGAGCTATACAAATAGCGAACTTATTATCACATAGCAGCTTCATAGGTCCCTCACATTTTATTTTTAGATCATCAAGTACAATTTTCAGCCACAGT